GTTTTTCTAGGGCTCCAGCCCACGCCCCAGCACAGCAAACACTTCCCTCAGCAGCAAACACTCACAGAACGTTCTCAGAGGAGTTCCACATTTCTCAGTACAGATTCCTGACGCCAAAAATATTAATAATCATAAAAAATATGATCAGTCTTTCAAAAGTGTCTGCAATAAATAGGAATTTAGAACTGTTGGGGTGTCCTGTGCAGTTGAACTCAGTGATGCTGATGGGTCCCTTCCAGCTCAACATATTCTATGTCTCTATGATTAATTTGAAAATGTTGGGATTTTTGCTATAAAATACTTGAGAAAGTAAAAAAATTACCTTTTAACACTTTTTTTTTTAACCATGTTTTTATGAAGTGCTGCTGGAAGAGGCCAGAAATCACCACATGTGCAGGGAGACAACTGCAAGGACTATGAAACCCCAGCTCTCTGCACCACATCCTCGGGCTCAGGTGGGCTGAGATGACCAGGAACCACCTGAGCAGCAACTACAGGCTTCCCCAGCGGGTTTCATGCTGGAACTAGTTGGAAAAAAAGGAGGAAAACAACTCCAGATTCATTTTATGATCATTACATATCACCAGGTGCTCTCCCTGCCTTCCTTTCATGCATCCTTGAGTTCTTTAATAACAGTGACACAGCTCTGGTGTGTTCCCAGGAGGGGATTTGCACAGTCAGTGCTGATGAAAAACGAGCAACTCGCTGGAAAGCAGGAGAAGATGAGTCAGGTGGCACCTGCTCCCGAGGCAGATGTGGGAACACAAAGACCCAGCTCACGTGAGACTGCCCAAAACACTCCCTGATGCTGCAATAATAATTGTCTGCTTTTCCCCTGCCTTCCAGAGCCCTCAGCTGGGATTCAGAGGTGCTGGGGTTACCCATGGTTGGGATGGATCAGGTTTTACTCTCCTGCAGCTGCTCTGAGCTGACTCCTGCAGCCATCCCTGAGCCTGCAGAACAGAGGGTTTGGGAACTCCAGCTCTCCCTCTTTGCATTTTAGAGCCCTGAAGTCTGATTTCTTTATCAAGACCATGCAGAACACTCTTTGCAGGGTAAGACAAGAAACAATCTATAAACCAGGATATTTCGTATTTGTGAAAAATAACCTCCTTGCCCTCTTCCTTACCCAGAAGTAAATTAAAAATGATCACTTTCACCACTTGAAGTGTTCTCTGTGGTGCAGACAAAAACAAGGTGCTGCAGAGTTTCCTGTCTCTCTTACCCAACAGTTCCCACCGAATTTCATTCACACCACAGTGTCTGCAAAGGCTGAGCAGCTCTGGCCCCTCCAACAACCCCTCTCCACAAGCCCCACCTTGCTCCACCTGCTGTGGAACAGTCACAGCCACGTTGAGTCAACCCCACTGAAATAAGGAGTTCTATCAATCCAAAGCAGGATGTTCTCCCTTCCCTTACTCGAGTACAAATAAATACTTGGCTGCCACTGAGAGACCCGAGAGCTGCTGGAGGTGAAAAAGGTTCCCTGTTTTAAGGAGTCCTTTAATTACTGTGACATCCTCTGACAGGAATTGGGATGCCAACCCCTCCTGCAGCAGAGCACCTGCCCCCAGAGGGGAGCAGGGACTGTCTGAAGTCAGCTGCTGATGCACAAACTGCTCAAATTCGGCTGTTTGGAACAATTCTGATTTACAAGCCCCTCAAGGAACAATTGTCTGGTAAAGCTTTGGAGGTTTCTCTAAAGAAACAAAGCTACTGAGTCCACACTAACTGTTCCCATAGTCCTGCTTTCATCATTTTTTTTAATTGTTCTGATGACTAAGAATCAAATCCAGAGGCTGGGACTGAGAACTGAGGCATTCAAGGACAGGATGACTTTTATTTACAATAAATTGTAACATTCAGTGACTGCTGAGTGTCCAGTGAAACAGCCAGTTCATTAAGGAGCTGTAAGACATGGCCATGAAAAAGTCCTGACACTGTGATATTCCTGCTGAATCACCACCCAAACCTACAAATGACTGGGCACGAGTGCAGGGCTGGGAAAGGAGGCAGTAAAGTCCCCCTGCATCCACCCCCCTACCCAGACACGCTTCACCCAGCCCACGTCAGCACCACCAAGTTCAGATATTACAGCAATGAAAAGTGCAACTTCACCCTTTCTCTTTTTCCCACTAGAGACATCCCTGGGGAAATATCCTCGTGTGCACCCAGACTGGTATGATTTCAGTTCCACCCACATCGGGGCTCTCTTGGGAACTGAATCCAGCACAGCCCGTCTTGGGTCAGGCAGTGACCCCAGACAAAAATAGCTCTGGCAGAAAGTTGGATTTAAGGAAAAGGGTGGAGCCCATCCCAGTGTAAAGTGAACAAACCCACCACTGGCACTGAAGGATGGAGCAGCAGCAATCCCTCAGCACACGAGCAGCACAAAGGTGACTCGTGCCATCTGCACAACGGGACCCCAAGCCCTGGGCAGGGCAGGATCCGGGCTGGCAGCTGGGTCTGACACAACTCCACACGTGGCAGCAGCAAGAGCTGATTGCCCTCTCCAGAGCAGTAAAACAAGAGAGCAGCCCGAGCATTGTAGGACACCAGGAGGCTGTCCTGACAACACCCTCAGGCACAATCAGCAGCAGCGCAGAGGAAAAAATAAATCGAGTTACACACCAGGATCCAGAACCACCGGCTCGTTCTCTTTTCTGCTCATCCTTTCACACAAAATTAGCCAAGTCTGCCCCTGCAAGGCGCCTCTCAACTAATTAATTTGATTCCTTAAGGCAGCCAACATCCTATGTTGATTTTTCAGCTATCTAGCAATCCTTTTCCAATCCTTCATTGTACTGGAAATGACAAGGTACATCTGAGAATTACACATTAACCAAAGAATAAAACCCCAAGAACAAACCGTGACACACAAGTTTCCTGCTAATTACAGGAAATTAGCAGGAGCCCTTTCTAATATGATTAGAATGCCACGGAGTGCCCAAATGAACAACAAATTTAAACTGTCAGAGGCACTGCAAAACGCATTTAAATCTGACACCGCCTCATGTTCAAAGCTCAACCATTCTCATTGCATTTTTCTTGGTATTTAGAGCACAAATGCCCTCTCCGCCCAAACAGAAACACAAAATGGAAAAGAAAAATAACACGAAGTGTTCTGGTTGTTATTCCACCTCGCAGGATGCGAGCCCTGCAGGACACGGGCACAGCCGTGTGGCACAAAGGTTCCCGAGCACTCAGCGGCTGATGCAGCCAGACCACGAAACCTACAGATTTCACCCAGAGGAGGCATCACAGCCGTCCGAAAAAGCTTGATTTTCTCCTTCCTCAGTAGTTTTAAGCCTGCTGAGGGAGCTCAGCCCCCCTCTCTTCCCTCGGGTACCGCCAGAGTCACTCCCAGGTGTGTCCAACACCCACACGGACCTGACGGGTCATTGATTCCAACCATCCCCAGATTCCGAGTCATTGATTCCAACCATCCCCAGATTCTGAGCGGCAGGAGAGGAACAGGCGGTGAAGCCTGGGGGAACACAGCCAGTAAATCACACTTTTACCCCCAGATCTCCCCCCGGCAATTCTCAAATCCTTGCACGAGCAGGGGCACGGGAGTTTATCGGGAAGAGCTCCCATGAATGTTTTATAGCGGAAAGGGAAAGGCAGCCTGGGAGTCCCCCGGCTCTGCCAGCGCTGCCCAGGATTGAGCTGGACTTCCCAGAGGGAACAGGCAGGAAAACGTGGATCTTCCCGGCACCCATCGCATCCACAGGGGAAATAAAACCGTAAAGACGAGGAAATGTTAATGCACGAGTCCAGGCTGGAGCAACCTTGGACTTGGAGACTTTTATTGCTCTTTTTTTTTTTTTTTGTTATTTTGTTGTGGTTTTTTTTTCCTCCAAAGCGACTTTGCAGGGGGTCAGCACAGGCGAGGAGAGGGGAGGGGGCAGGCTGTCCAGGGAAGCTGTGCCTGGCCCATCCCTGGAAGTGCCCAAGGCCACGCTGGGATACTGGAAGGTATCCCTGCCCACGGTGGAGGGTGGAATGGGATGATTTTACGGTTCCTTCCCACCCAAACCATTCCATGACTCTGGGATATAGGCTAAGATCGACAACACGCTGTTTAAAAGTAAAGTCCTCAAGGTCCCTCCGCTCCTAAAGCATCCCCCGGTCCCACGAGGCAGGCGGGTCTGGACAGGGGGATACGGGGGCAGCTTCCCAGAGGGATGACAGAGCACTCTCGCACCCACCCGGCTTTCCCATTCCATGGAAAAATCCCCAATCCCTGACCCCCCTCGCCCAAGCCGGGGGGTGTGAGGGGATAACCCCCGGGGCAGCCCGGCCGGGGGTCCCCGCCCGCCCCTCACTCACCGCAGCCGCAGGTTCGCCATGAACTCGGGCATGGTCACGGCGTCCATCAGCACGAAGTCGGCTTTGCCGAACTCCAGGCTCTCCTGCTCCGCCATGGCGGCCGCGGGGCGCGTCCGGGGGCCGGGACGAGAGCGGGACGGGGACGGCGGCGGGACAGTCCCGACTTTGGTCCTGACTTTGGTCCCGGCTCTCGGACCGGCCCCAGGACCCGCCTCAGGACCCGCCTCAGGACCGGCCCCAGGACCCGCCTCAGGACCCGCCTCAGGACCGGCCTCAGGACCCGCCTCAGGACCCGCCTCAGGACCGGCCCCAGGACCCTCCTCAGGACCCTCCTCAGGACCCGCCTCAGGACCGGCCCCAGGACCCTCCTCAGGACCCGCCTCAGGACCTCAGGACCGCCTTCAGGACCTCCAGGACCCTCAGGACCATCAGGACCGCCCCCAGGACCCACCTCAGGACCGGCCCCAGGACCCGCCTCAGGACCCGCCCCAGGCGCCGCTCCCCGGCCGGGGGGGGGGTGGGGGGGTGTCACCTGCGGGGGGGCGGGGCCGGGCCCTCACTCAGCGCCCCCTGGCGGCCGCACGCGGCACTGCCCCCCCCGGCCGGAGCGGGGCTGGAGCGCCCCCTGGCGGCGGGACAGGGCCGGGATGGGGGCCGGGATCGGGGCCGGGATCCAGGGAAAAGTGGGGGCTGGGATGGTTCGGAGGGAGAGGATTCCTTCCCGGGGTGTATTCTGGACCCGGGGGAGTCCCCTGCCCCAAGCACAAGGTGCTGAGGGGTCGCATTCTGCACCATTAGACCCCCGGGATGAGGAGTGCAGGGCGCTCCGGGAGGGGGGTCAGATCGGGGGAATTCCTTCCCGGGGTGTATCCTGGACCCGAGGAGTGCCTCCCCATCGCCCAGGGTGCTAAAGGGTCACGTCTTCTATGTGTGAGACCCTCACCCCCAGCCCAGGGTGCTGAGGGGTCACACCCTGCACACGTGGAGACCCCCGGATGGGGGCTGCAGGGGGCTGTCCTTCAGCTGGAGGACTCTTCCCTCTTGGGGTGTATCCTGCACCCAGAGGAGCCCCTGCCCTAAGCACAGGGTGCTAAAGTGTCACATTCTGCACGTGGGGAGACCCTCCCCCCAAAACAAGGTGTTAAGTTGTCACATCCCCTACCTGGGGACCCCCCACCCCACAGAACAGGGTGCTAAGGGGTTATATTCTGCAGCTCGAGAGACCCCCCCTCTCCCCAGCCCAGGGTGCCTCAGGAGTGGATCCTGCATTGGAATGTGCTACAGGGCCACATCCTGCACCCTGTGGAATCTCCATCCCAGGGCAGGGCTGGATCCTGCACCTGGGGGACACCTTTCCCTCAGCAGAGACAAATCCTGTACCCCAGAATCCCCCCCCCTCTTCACAGTGTCCTGCAGGGACACCCACCCCATCCCATATCCTGCAGGGAAACCCCCACAAAGACCCTGCAGGGTCAGGGGCTGCACCCCAGGAATCCTCCCCCTCAAAAAAACACATCCTGGACACTTTGACCCCTTTTGCTGCCCCTCAGCACCAGGAAGAACACCACAGAACGTGGTCCTGCACCAAGAGGGGAGAGAGCAGATCCTGCACCCAGGGGATCCCCCACCCCAGGATCCCCCAGGCAGGGTCAGGCCCTGCCCAAGCACCCCTGGGTGCCGCCCCAGGCCCTGCTCACTGTGGCACTTACTGAACCCCCAGAAACCCCCCAAATTAATGCAGAATAAACCACATAAAAAGTCTCACAGGAACACCCCAGTACCATCCAGAACCAGCCACCTTGGGCTAATTACATTAACGATACTAATTAGTGCACTGGGGCAGGGGGGACCTGGGAGCAGGGCCAGATTCACCCCAGAGAACATTTTGGGCAAGAATGGCTGGTTTGGGTGCAGGAGATGGGTGTGCAGGTGTGAGGTGGTGTGGCCATCCCTGTGCTTGTCCTCATCCCCACCCCTGCAGCTCCCAGACTGTTGAGTGGGAAGGGACCCACAAGGATCAGTGAGTCCAGCCCCCAAGTGAACAATGCCCAGAGGGATGGAACCCAAACCTCGGCTTTATCAGCACCAGCTCCAACCAGCTGAGCTCATCTCGGGCTCTGGGTGGGCCCTGGGTGGGCCCTGGTGGCTGCAGCCCCAGCTGAAAGCAATGAGCTCCCTCCCTATTTATAGGCAGCAGATTCCCCCTTCCCTGTGTGCTCCTGGGGGAGGACAAGGCTGGAGGAGCTCTCAGAGGTGAGCTGGGAAGGAGAAAAATCCTCCCCAATTCCCTAAAATACTCTATTTGTGCTTTACTTTCTAGTGCATTTGGTTCTGTGGAGGGTGTCTTTTGGTTTTGTTTCTGCAATATGCTGAATGCTTCTGGTATTAGTGCAAGTGTCTAATTTGCACGATGCTAATTAGTGCCCTGGGAAGAGCAGGGTGTGTGGGGGTGTGAGGGCAGCAGTGTGTTCAGCCCCTGCCCTGTTCTCCCTTGGCAGAGGTGTTGGATCCACAGCAGCTGAGTGTCATCCCAGCACCGTGTGGGCAGCAGGGATGGAACCAGGACCCCCAGGCCCCCCTGGCCCCCCGAGGGTGAAGGCAGCAGATGGATGTGCCTGGCAGAGCCTCCTCTGCCTCCGGCCCCCCAGGCCGAAGAGGAAGGTGGCTTATTCTGCCTACATGCACAAGCTTCTAAACCAGGTAGTCTTGACTGGGCTGGGGTGCAGTCTCCTGCTTCCCAAGCTCAGCTTGGTCATCCATGTATCCAAGCCTGGATGCTGCGTGTTTGGCTGGGCTGGGAAGCCTTTGACTCTTCTCTGGCTGCCCAGGGCAGTGGTGGAGTCCCCATCCCTGGAGGTGTTTAAAGACATGTGGATGTGGCACCTGGGGACGTGGCTTAGTGGTGGCCTTGGCAGTGCTGGAGGAACAGCTGGATTTGCTAATCTTGGAGGGCTTTTCCAACCTGAATTATTCCGTGATTCCAGCACGAAGCTGTGGGGGCTGGGGCCGGGCAGTGCCGGCGGCTCCTGGAGCTGTGCTGATGCTGTTGGTTGCTCTCCCCACAGACGTGGTCCTCCGGAGATTCCTGCTGGGTGGTTTCTGCCCTGGCTGGGCTGGGCGGCCTGCGGCTCCTCGGGGATGTGGCGCTGGAGGCTGCCAGGCTGTCCCGCGGCAGCCGCAGGAGCCGCCCCGGCCGCCGGGAGGTCCTGCTGGCCATGAAACTGGTGCTGCTGCAGGAGCTCTACAAGCCTCCTCCGGGACCCTGAGCCGGGAGCTGAGGCAGGACGGGACAGTCTTTAGAGTATTTTAACGTGGATTTGGTAAATAAAGGATTTATTGGCATCGTTTAACAGAGTCTCCTGCCTGGGCCGGGACCGAGAGCAGGGTGGGCTCAGGCTGTCGGAGGGCTGGGTACGTGTGTGCCCCGGGCAGGGGGGCAGGAGGAGGGGGTGAGGGCTGGGTACGTGTGTGCCCCGGGCAGGGGGCAGGAGGAGGGGGTGAGGGCTGGGTACGTGGGTGCCCCGGGCAGGAGGAGGGTGTGAGGGATGGGTACGTGGGTGCCCCGGGCAGGAGGAGGGTGTGAGGGATGGGTACGTGTGTGCCCCGGGCAGGGGGGCAGGAGGAGGGGGTGAGGGCTGGGTATGTGGGTGCCCCGGGCAGGGGGGCAGGAGGAGGGTGCTCACACACCTGACTCGGGGAGCACTTGCAGAGCAGCCCTGCGGGCAGGTCAGTGGTCCCCGGGGGTCCAAAGGGCCTCTCTGCTCTGGCAGCCCAGGCTGCTCGGGGCTGGGGGGCAGCTGGAAGCCTCTCTGTGCTGGGTTTGGCCAAGGAAGGGGGAGGAGGAAAGGTGGGTGGGCAATGCCAGGCTCAGAGGCAGCAGCATTCCCTGGCCGTGCTGGGTCGGTGGCGGCGCTGGGGACTCGTTCCTGGGCTCTCATCCCAGGGATGTCTCCGGGTTCTCCTGCCTTGCAGCTTCCAATCCCACCGTGGGGGTGGTCGGGGTGGGTGGCAGTGCCTGAGCTCCCCCCTTCCCTGGGAGGAGTTCCTGGTCCCAGGGAAGTGCCACCAGCTCCTGGCAGTGCTGGGACACCCTCCCTGCAGCAGCTTTCCCAGCCGCTGAGCTCTTCTCCCAGAAACACGGGCAGGAGGCTGGAAAAGGGGATGTCCCTTGTCACCTCGTGCTGGTGTGAGCTGAAGGCTGTGAAATGTCCCCAGAGCCACCCCTGCAGCTGCCTCACCCGGTGGACGCTGCTGGCCTTTGGGGACACTCGCTGGGCTGTGGTGGCACGGTGGCAGTGTCACACAGGGACAGGGGGTGTCACTGGTGTGCAGCAGCTCACGGTGTGACTGAGGTGGCTCTGGCTCTGTCCCCAGCCTGCTCCTGTTTGCTCTCTGTGCTCCCCCGGGTGTACCCAGACCTGTGCAGTGCCGCGGGCTGTCACCTACCAGCGTCCTTTGCCTGCTTCCACAGTAAATATCGGGATAACTGGTGCCCTCGAGGAGCAAGTGCTGCCCAAGGACTGAGGGTTCAGGGGCTGGGCCCAGGGGAAGGCTGGGTCTTGATGCCTCAGCTGCTGTCCTGGCACATTGTCACCCCTGTGCTGAGGGGCTTCAGCTCATCCCCAACCCCCATTCCAGCAGCCCTGACTCTTTGGGTTGATTAGGGTTTGGCTAAAATCCATGGATTTAGGGTCAAGTCCTATAGGAAAGTCCTAGACTTTGCAGAAGGAAGGGGAGCAGCTGACCTTGACACCCAGGCACCCACAGCCCCTGGCAAGGCTGACTTTACCCACAGCATTCCTGGGTGGAATTCTGTTCAACCTGCCCCAAAAGCTCAGCAGAGGAGGAGGAAGGGGAGCATTCCATACCCTGTGATACCATCTGGTTTGGAGCTTCATCACCCTGTCAGGGTGTTTCTCTTGTGTTACAGCACAGAAAAGCTGAGAAGAACATTCTCTCACTATTTCTTGTCCCTGCAGATGGTCCAGACCACTTGCCCTCTCTTTTTCTCTCCTGCTTTATTTATGTCTTTGGAGCCCCAGCTGCTGCTGGGAGGGTGACATGTGAGCAGCTCTTCTGCAGGGAGGCCATGGGACTCTTGAACCTCTCCAGGAACTGTGCAGAGGATCCCTCCTGCCTGGAACTGAGACTGAGCCTGGAGCAACCCCCAGCTCTGAGGGGAAGCAGCTGGAGCAGAGGAGCTGCTGGGAGAGATCAGCAGGGGAGGTTCCTGGGCAGGAGAGGAGGTGTTATCACCTGAAAACCTTTAGCTCACCTGGGCTCTAGACAGACAAAATGTTGGCTGGCACAGGTTGCCCAGAGGAGCTGTGGCTGCCCCTGGATCCCTGGAAGTGTCCCAGGCCAGGTTGGAGCAGCCTGGGCTGGTGGAAGGTGTCCCTGCCCATGGCAGGGGGTGGCACTGGATGGGCTTTAAGGCCTCTTCTAAGCTAATCCATCCCATGGTTCCATAAGGATGTTCTCTGATCTCTTAACTAATCATCTGTCTGTTTTCCCTTTAAAAACATGAGTTTTTGGTAAATTATATTTATCCTTCTTTTTTTTTTTCCTGAGCTTCCTCTGATATTTCTTCTGTTTCATTAGTCAGGGCACCTTCCTCCTTTCCACAGTTCCCCTGCTGGTAAATGGCTCCATGGCTCCCCAGCATTAACCATCTGGGAGGGGGTAACTGTGCCCTTTCCTCTTCTCTGCTTTTTCAAAAAGGGGAAGTAATAAAGAAAATTACACAACACATCAAATTTTCCAGCCCAACACACACAGGATGATGTTACAGTCTGGAACCAGGGAGGAGGATGTTAAACTCTAAACAAACTAAATATTGAGCTCCCAGGATTTGGGGATTGAAAGTGGATACTGTGTCTTCTTCTATGGAGTTTTCCAGGAAACTTTCTGAAGACAGAAATGAGACTTCCCAAGTCTGCCATGTGACTGTTGCACAAATATGTGCCCATTTACACTGGGAGAAGATCAACATCCCCTCTCAGGTCAGTGTGTGCAGAGCCAGGCACCCCGTAAAAGAACCCAGAGGAAGCAGAGTCCTCAAGGCCTTTGCTTCTCATAAGGGGAAATCTTTCCCAAATGTGTTCCTGAGAATCCTCTGGAGGATGTTTGTCTCCCTGGGACGAGGGGGTGGAGGAGGGTTACGGGAATGCCTCGTCCCTCCAACAGCTTCATTTCCTCTCCAGGAAGGAATTGCCCGTGGCAAAGCTTCACTGTGAGCCACTCTGTATTTACATACAAGGCTTGTGATTCCCCAGGCTGAGCAGAGCTGGGAATGCAGCCAAACCCACCAGACTCATCCAAACAGAAGGGAAACATCTTGAGATGTTCCCCAGGTCTGACTGTGGCAGCCTGGATAAAAATGCCACCCCTGTGGCCTGGAGACAGGGGGCTGAGCCCCAGCCAGCCCTGACAGCACAGAGAGGGCTCTTCTGGAGAAGAGAAGGCTCCAGGGAGAGCTGAGAGCCCCTTGCAGGGCCTAAAGGAGCTCCAGGAGAGCTGGAGAGGGACTGGGGATAAGGGATGGAGGGACAGGACACAGGGAATGGCTTCCCACTGCCAGAGGGCAGGGTTAGATGGGATATTGGGGAGGAATTCCTTCCCTGTGAGGGTGGGGAGGCCCTGGCACAGGTTGCCCAGAGAAGCTGTGGCTGCCCCTGGATCCCTGGAAGTGTCCAAGGCCAGGTTGGACGGGGCTTGGAGCAACCTGGGCTGGTGGAAGGTGTCCCTGCCCATGGCAGGGGGTGGAACTGGATGGGCTTTAATTTCCCTTCCAACCCAAACCATTCTGGGATTTTATGACCAGGATGACCATGTAATCCCAGGCTCCTGCACTCTGAGTGCACAGCAATGGGGGGGTTGTTAGCCTGTTACCCCACAGTGACATCCAAATGGTTCTCATTAAAACTCTTAAAAACGCAAAAAGGAAGTTTTTACAGTCTCAAGGCCTTTGACAACACTCACCCAGCTCCAGGGTCACTCCATGATGTCCCCATGGTGGTTCTCCATCCTTCCCCTACATGCCATGGCCCGAGGCAGCTGGAGAGTCAGTGAGGGGAGTGAAACCATCCAAAAGTCCCCTCTGGGAGGGTCGGGTCGGGGTCAGGGCTGAGGGCAGTGAGGGGCTGCTGGAAACAGCAGTGGAGGAGCAGAGCTGGAGGGGTGATTCCAACACACCCCACACAACTCAAACCCCTCACCACGGGTGTTTGTTCCACGGTGTTCCCAATTCCTGGGAAGATCTCAGACACCCAGGCTCCCAATGCCAAAAGAATGTCACAGGTATTTCCTGTCTCTGAAAATCTCTGAGATCCCTGGATCTCACACAGGTTGGCACCTGAGCTCAGCTCTGTGGTGTCATCCCATGCAGCCCAAACCCCTCCCGTGGGATGTTTGTTTAACCTGTGCTTTTTCCCCTTGAAACCTCCCCCAGGGGAGCCTCAGCACCAGAGAACCTGTCCTGGGCTGTGTTCACACCCAGCCAGGCCCCAGTGCCTGGTTAAAGCTCTTACCACAGCTCACCCCGTGATTCCTCACCCTCTCCAGGCAGGCCCTGGGCAGTTTATTCCCTTCTTTTCCGTGGCAGCCTTTTATTTGTTGAGGAGGGTTATCCCAGCAGGGCAGGAAGTGCAGCTGTGGAGGGGAGGCTGGAGGTCAGTTCATCTCCAGCTGTCCCAGGCTCAGCTCCTCTGGACCAAACAATTCTTTCACTCCTCCCTCAGAGATCATATTTTCTAGATTTCCTCTGACCTAGATTAGAAAGAAAAAAGGACCATTTTTCAGGAACTGCTGTAGTAAGGAAGGAGCAAGTGCCAAGTGTCCTTGGAGGTGGGATCTGCTGAGGGGTTCCAAGCTCTCCTCTCATCCTGTGGGCATTGCAGGAGCACGGGACGGGAAGCCAAGGCAGCAAAGCACTTCTGAAAGGACCAACCTCTTTTGTCCAGGCTCCAGAAACCAAAAGGATCGTACCAAATAAATATCCAGCTCCATCAGAATTCCTCATCCTACTGATGTGACCTAAAGGATCCTCAACCTTATGGTTTTCATGAAAATAGGGGATTTATTGGGTTTTCTTTATCCATCAGCTCTTTCACTTTCTTTAGGTGCCTCAAGCAATAACACAGAGCACCCTCACCCACAGCAGCACCCACCTTCCCTGCCCTGGGCCAAAGGGAGAGGGCATGATGCTGCTTATCCTGACCAGAACAGAAACAGCTCCTATTTACCTATCAAAAGGAAAAAAAATACTTTGAAGGATAATTACAGTCTCCTTAAATGGTTTCTTCCCCTTGGAATTCTATTCTATTCTATTCTATTCTATTCTATTCTA